ACTAACCAATCTGCTTCACCCAACAACTGATAGTATCCAATTATGCAAAGATATAGTAGAGTTTTGTAGGTAGAGTTTTGCAGGCTAAAACAGACCTCTTTACCTAAATCAAGAGTGCAGGCTTAAAATAGGCTCAGCTTGGTATAACCATGACTGTTACAAGAAATCTAAAAACAGCAAAAGGAGAGAAAGCATAGGATTGCAGTTCTGTTTTCACCAACAGAAATGGGAGAAGTGGTAGACATTTATAGGCAAAACCCCTGACAGCCACAAATCTATGTTGTTATCCTTTTTATTTTATGTATTTTGTTATTATATTTGCTGTCTTTTCAGGGGTAGAGTAAAAGCTGTTACTTTTCTACTGCCCGTGGATATGAGAGAATACACTGAAAATCATATGGCTTTCCAGAGCCCTCAAAATCAAAGCGCAAATCACTTGAGCACGATAACTGAAAAGGATCCATGACCTGGTGAATTTTTAAAGACTTTTCTGTCTCATTATGATGAGACGCCATTAAAATGATAGCTGGGTGTTCGGTTACATTTTGTACACAATGCTTGGCAGTCTGCCTTCTCATATAGACAAAACAATTGCTTCGGGTCACTGGTCCTTTGTTATTCGAAACCTGAGGCCAGTCCAAAGAGTATTAGGTTGTGATCGTACCTATAGTTTTTCACTAATGTAATGTAGTATTTATTTTTATTTGATAATGTAGTTAATACTCTATGGTAAGAGCTGTTATTTTCTTTTATTGTTTAATGATCAGATTCATGCATATATTGTAATGGTCTTCTTAAGCATTTTGTATGTTAATTGTGGTCAACTTCCCTCAATTAATTTACATTTTATCACAGAGATTAAAGGAACATACCGTGTAGTATATTGCCAACATCAGTCATTAATATATTATAACTTGTATTAATATCTGTCTTTATAGTCTTTATTACTATATAGTAATTAGCAGATAGCATGGAAAGTTAAATAATTTCTGTATACAAATAAAAATAAATAATAAAAGTGATTTGAATCTATAAATTGTATTGCTTATTAAAATTCTTAAATTATATTATGAAATGTTTTGTAAAATATGTAGATTCTATTTTTTCACTTCTTCATTACAGAACAAATTCACTCTAGAACCTCATGGGCTAATTTGTTTCTGATTGATCTGGAATCCACTGGTGGGATTCTTTACGCCAGTTATCCAGCCAGTGTGCTTATTGCATCTATTAATTTTCTTCATTATGAATTATGTATGGATTAAGATTCCGTGTTTCAGCCCACAACTCGGACTTTTATCAAGACTTGTATTTATAAAAGTCCAAGTTACAGACTGAAATGCTGATTTTGTAATATGAAATCGTATAAAACACCCAATATGCCCTGTGTTATATTTGCTGCCAAAGATATATAAATATCCACATAATCCTCCAGGATATTCCATAATCTCGGCAATTGAAAGTCTTCTTGACCCCACAGGCATTTGGTTGGACTCTCTATTCAAGGATTCAGTTATGTCCTTACCCATTGGTGTTAAGGACATGCCTTTTGGCATTCTAAAAATGATGGAGGTTACTATGCCTGACCCAGGACTCACAAGAATGGGATGCAGGCAATGCGCAGAGTTCTCCAAGAATATCCCAAATAGATAAGTCACCTAACTGAATTTGTATTGCAAATTCTCAAACTATGCCTTACTTTACGGCACTTCAAATAAATTTTTTCGTGCCATTTCCCTATACTGTTCGGGAACCGAACAGATGAACGAACCATGAACCACCCGGGAGCTTGTTAAACCCTATTGACACCTGGCAACGATTATCAACTCAGTGTTCTAATTGTTTGTCTAGATCTCCACAGTTTGTATGAATGACCATGAGGTCGCGGCCATCTTGTTCGCATGAACGCAGGCAGAAGTGTTTGGTCGTTGAGTTCATGGAACTAAAATCGGACATTGAAACTCCTGAACACCGCTGGACTTCCATTATCGTCTGCGTTTGGTTCTGTATGTCCTAGAAGAACACTGTTTGGTGGAATCGTTCATCTGAATGAGGGGAACAAGCTCCATGGTTCATATATAGACTATGTTCGGTAGTTCTTTAGTTTTTATGCTAATGAAGTTGACTGACCTTTACCACTTTTCTCTATTGTTCTTTACTTATCTCTACCACTTTTTAACTATTTTGGGCAGAATTAGTAAATTGTGTGTTTTTTTGCACCTGGAGATAATTGAGTTAGTACAGTTCCTGACTCAATTATCTCTCAGGCACAGGGGAGGAAAACCCTGCTGTTTTGTGTAAGAAACCCCTTGCATTGGCTTTGTCATAAAGAGCTAAACTGCTCTATTGATTGCTATTCTCTCTGGAGGAGAGGTCTACCCACCCCTAACGTGGTCTCTTAACATAAGGTCCGTCTTCACCATTTATATAGCAAACCATGTGGACAAAAATTATGTTGTGCCAGTAATTCTGTGTCTTACTGAAAATATTTGGCTGTGTGTTGAGTTATTTTGAGGGGACAGCAAATTTACGCTGTTATACAGGCTGTACACTTACTACTTTACATTGTAGCAGAGTGTCATTTCTTCAGTGTTGTCACATGAAAATATATAATAAAATATTTACAAAAATTTGAGGGGTGTACTCACTTTTGTGAGATACTATATATATATATGTGTGTGTGTTCTACTTTTGTCTCTTGAATTCACTATAATTCTTCTTTTTGTGTATTGTTATCTTTTGCTAAACAATCAAATCTTATTACATACAAAATGAAGGATGCTTCTTATCTTTGTTTCAGCACGGAGTGTTCTTTCTTAAATGTCCACTTTTGTTCTTCTGTAAGCACATATATACTCTATCGGCTGTTATTAGTATATATGCAGCTTTGTCTAAACTAGAGGGATGGGTTATCATCTCCTACAGCCATTATGTTTATTAATTACTCAGCAAAGCTCATATGTGCAACATTCCACCTCTTAATAAATAAAATATATGCATTATTTAACTGATCAAACTGTAATTCTCCCAATTGGTGGTATCACAACATACAAGATAACTATGTGTATTGTCTATACATAATGTACCATTGCAGAACAAAACAAACAAATGAAAGAAAAAATAAAATGCAGAATAAAACATATGACGCATTTCAAGAAGAAAAAAAATGTAAATTTGTTTTTCCTCCCAAAATGTCCAATATGTGCAAAACCCTCCCCCATAGATGGGGCTCCTTCCCCTTATCGTACTCACTGGAGCTGCCAAGTGCATAAGTCTCAAGACAAACTTCAATTTCTTCACATGTAATAAAAGGACTTCAGAGACTGGAACTAGAAAAAAAGCAATTTCTTCAGATCCCTACCAATCTGTACGAGGGACAGAAGAACAGGTATTTCATCTTATTATTGCAGTTACACACAATTTTCAATAATAATTTTACTGGTTAGATCATGTCATGGAAGCTCCCGTGCCACAGCCTGCTGGAGAGGCATAACAGCTAGCCTCCTGCCCACAGACTATGGTCCTGGTCACAGACTTTAAAATTATATATATAGAATGTGGGGAAACGTTGTAAAATGTTGAAATTAATTAAAGTTATTGAGTTCGTTATATTATGTAACAGCGATTGTGCAATGTGTCTTGGTGTCCAGCAGGAAATTAAGTTATCATGTCTTGCCCTAATTATGTACCAGAAACGAAGACGCCAGGGAATGGTTTGCATTGTTCTGGCTAAAGGGGAATAAAAAAAATTAGTTTTTTCCTGAAATAAACAGTTCTCTTGTTTCAACCAATACGACTGGTCTTGTCTACTATACTGGGACATTTTACAAGGTTCCAGAGAACTATAATCACTGTATGCTGTAGCTGAATCCAGGACTCATGGAGGAAATGACCAAGGGACACTAACAGACACTGCTACCAGTGACAGATCACTTTCAATCACTAGGTGATACATACATACATTGCATCTTAATATTGTTCTACATAAATTCAATATTACCACCTGTTACATTACCTTGCTGTGGTGCCACGTATTCCCAGTAGGTGGAACTTGCACAACCAAACTCCGACATCCCCAGCACATGCCCATGCTGTGAATTGGAATGCTTGCCATGTGCCCCTTTTTTAGTTAAAGGTATATGGCACTATTTTATTACCTCTATACTCCAGGATGACATCACTTACCTGTAATCAATCACCACATAGTATAACATAAATACATTTCAGGCTGTCCCTAGTTCCCTGCCCTGTCATGGTTTCTGTATACCTTAGAGTTCGTCGTATGATTGTACATATTCCATTTCCTGACCTTCCAATGTTTGACCATTCTTACTCTCTGTAACCCTGAACTTGGCTTGTTTCTCGATTATGCGTGCCTCTGTTATCCCTGACCTTGGCTTATTTATGTGCATTCTGTGTTTTCTTGCAGATGTTCTGACTTTTCTTTGTGCTAGCCCAGCCACACTAAGGACTGGTTCACATACCTACCTTGTCTCTAGCTAGGTTTGCATTTTAGGGTCAGACGATTTACTATTCAGTGAATAATCTCTCCTAGACATTTGCACTTTAGTCAAATATTAATTTCTAGTGATCAGGTGAAAGCCTGTTGACTACGCCATTTATATTAAATAGGATAACATCAATACTACAAATTATTCATTTAAATTAAAAATGTCATATAAATTAAATCACATACAAAATCTTTTATATAAAAAAGTCAACAAAATAAAAACTGCAGTATTTCAAGGTACTTCAGCTGATCACATAGAATACTAACATAGAATGAAAGTGCACACTGATTATGTAGCAGAGTTTACTTAAGCAGATATATGTATAAAATGTAACGATGTTACAAAGTAATAAGCACAAAGTATAGGGTTTTTGAGTGAAATACAATATGGATACAGGCTTGATTGGTTCCATTACCTATGTACAAGCTATTCTCTTCAGTCACAGAAATGAAGCCATAAGGTCATTCTTTTCTCCAAAATTAATCTTCCTTATCTCTTTCCCATCGTGAATTATATGCTCCTGTTAACAGAGGGTTTGTCTCAAACTGTAGCTGTTGGTAAACATGCAGCATTGTCCCACGAAGGAGGATCAACTTCTTCTAAAGCTTATGTTCTTTAATACTAATGGATTCTTATATGCATTAACTTTATAAATTGCTTGGCAAAGTATTTTATCTACGGTCAGGTCCATAAATATTGTGACATCGACACAATTCTATACATCACCACAATGGATTTGAAATGAAATGAACAAGATGTGCTTTTACTGCAGACTTTCAGCTTTAATTTGAGGGTATTTACATCCAAATCAGGTGAACGGTGTAGGAATTACAACAGTTTGTATATGTGCCTCCCACTTTTCAAGAGACCAAAAGTAATGGGACAATTGGCTGCTCAGCTGTGTCAGGTGTGTGTTATACCCTCATTATCCCATTTACAAGGAGCAGATAAAAGGTCCAGAGTTCATTTCAAGTGTGCTATTTGCATTTGGAATCTGTTGCTGTCAACTCTCAATATGAGATCCAAAGAGCTGTCACTATCAGTGAAGCAAGCCATCATTAGGCTGAAAAAACAAAACAAACCCATCAGAGAGATAGCAAAAACATTAGGTGTGGCCAAATCAACTGTTTGGAACATCCTTAAAAAGAAAGAACGCACCGGTGAGCTCAGCAACACCAAAAGACCCGGAAGACCACCGAGAACAACTGTGGTGGATGACCAAAGAATTCTTTCCCTGGTGAAGAAAACACCCTTCACAACAGTTGGCCAGATCAAGAACACTCTCCAGGAGGTAGGTGTATGTGTGTCAAAGTCAACAATCAAGAGAAGACTTCACCAGAGTGAATACAGAGGGTTCACCACAAGATGTAAACCATTGGTGAGCCTCAAAAACTGGAAGGCCATAGTAGAGTTTGTCAAACAACATCTAAAAGAGCCTTCACAGTTCTGGAACAACATCCTATGAACAAATGAGACCAAGATCAACTTGTACCAGAGTGATGGGAAGAGAAGAGTATGGAGAAGGAAAGGAACTGCTCATGATCCAAAGCATACCACCTCATCAGTGAAGCATGGTGGTGGTAGTGTCATGGCGTGGGCATGTATGGCTGCCAATGGAACTGGTTCTCTTGTATTTATTGATGATGTGACTGCAGACAAAAGCAACAGGATGAATTCTGAAGTGTTTCAGGCAATATTATCTGCTCATATTCAGCCAAATGCTTCAGAACTCATAGGACGGCGCTTCACAGTGCAGATGGACAATGCCCTGAAGCATACTGCAAAAGCAACCAAAGAGTTTTTTAAGGGAAAGAAGTCGAATGTTATGCAATGGCCAAGTCAATCACTTGACCTGAATCCGATTGAGCATGCATTTCACTTGATGAAGACAAAACTGAAGGGAAAATGCCCCAAGAACAAGCAGGAACTGAAGACAGTTGCAGTAGAGACCTGGCAGAGCATTACCAGGGATGAAACCCAGCGTCTGGTGATGTCTATGCATTCCAGACTTCAGGCTGTAATTGACTGCAAAGGATTTGCAACCATGTATTAAAAAGTGAGAGTTTGATTTATGACTGTTAATCTGTCCCATTACTTTTGGCCCTTAAAAGGTGGGAGGCACATATACAAACTGTTTTAATTCCTACACTGTTCACCTGATTTGGATGTAAATACCCTCAAATTAAAGCTGAAAGTCTGCAGTTAAAGCACATCTTGTTCATTTCATTTCAAATCCATTGTGGTGGTGTATAGAGCCAAAACGATTAGAATTGTGTCCCAATATTTATGGACCTGACTGTATATTTGTGAGTGCGTTTCTTCCACCCTGATGTATTTTTCCTTTTTGTACATGTTACAATATTGTATCATTTCTCTCTCCTAGATTGTTTGTTTTCAGCCTTATCAGGTTGTATATTTTTTGTATATACACTTTGTATCTTATATTCACATAGGGTTCTCCTTATATACTCTCTATATGTATTTTCCTTTTATGTAATTTGGGGTATTTTTGGTGAGGCACTTTTAGAGCTCTATTTTAATTTTATATTGTTTAGTGGTATATTTGGTATATATATTGTTTTCACACTTGGTTTATGTAAAGGGTTAGATTTAGAATTAGGTTTAGGATTAGAGTCCAGATTAGTTTTTGGATTAGGGTTCAAGTTAGGATTAAGGTCGGCAAGGGAAATTCTCTGCTCAAATCAATTTCAAAATGTCAATATCATATTACATCCTTCATAAATATCACTAAGCTAGAGGACATGGGGAGTTATAGGTGTTATATAGCTAAATGAAATTTAGAGTCTAAATTCTGAACAAAACAATTTTAAAAATACAATTTGGCAATTTAACCATAAATGTTCGTAATTTATCTATATACGTTTGTTACCAGGAATGAATAGCAATCATCTACCCAGTAGAATGAAAGAAAAATAGATACAAAATTCTCACCAGAACTCAGGTTCTTGTGCACATGGAAACAACCAATAAATTCAAAGTCACCCAAGTTCATTCTTACAAATTCAAATCAAAGCTGAGGGGAAACGCTCCCTTGTGTAATGAAGGAACAATAATTCCACATTTTCAAACTAAATAACTATCTAAAAGATCAAGATAAACTCCATCTACACTGTGCCATAGTTTAGATTCAGTTTAGAATGATAAAAAAAAATAATAATTTTAGCAGCAGAAACCCATTTTGAATATGCCATTTAAAAATAACTTCAGTGGACAGGTTATAGATTCAGCATAAAAACTCAACAAGGGTATATGGAGGGGGTAATTCTGTACTCAGGAGACATAGCTGAGCACAATTTATTGTTTTTTATTAATGTAGCACACATTAGGATTACAAATTAAACTTCTAATTTACAAAAAGAGGAAATTGAATAATATCATAACATTGGTACTAAAATAATGGTACAATAAGGCTCAAAATACGCCATATGACATATCCCGTGGTGTCTACTTTCACAAATAGTATGAATTTATGGGATAATTTAAACTGTCAAACTACTACAATGTCTGAAAATGCAGAATAGGCCCATTCAATCCAGCTATATAAATTCTAACTTTAATAACTGAAATAACTCTTTTATATGACACTGTAACGTTACAAGAGAGTGACTAAGACATACATTGTGGGTATTGTCTTATTTAGAAGAGTTAGTTGTGCATAATTTATGTGGTTTATTAATAGCGGCACATATCAGATTTGCAAAATCCCAGCAATGTGTAGGTAAAAAAACGCCCTGATTTATTTTTACCACAAACTTTGACATAAACTGGTGAAAAAATAGTAGTGCATTGAGGCACAATATACACAGTTAAAGCACTGATGAAGCGAGGTAAATTACATAAAACAATTCATTGCTGACATTTGACTTGGACAAATACAATGTTCAATACCATTAAAATAGCTTTTGATTTATGACACATGAATTTAGAACAACTATATTATTCTAGAAAAATACGGTGTCTGCAATGTTCGGAAGAAACATAACTGCAAATGCATTTAACAAATTACACGTAAAAATGTCTTTATTAAAACCAGCAAAAAATAGAATACATACAGATAATATGTTTCTCAAGTTAATCTGTATAATGCCCATAAAAATATTGGAAGTTTTGAAAGTCACACACACTAAATAGTTCTGTTATTTATTATATAATCACTATTGCTAACAACACTGCATTCATACAGACTTACAATAAAAATGTAAACAGATGGCACATTATTTCATCCAAGGGAATCGATCCCTTAAAATGACACAGATATTTTAGCTCTAAATGTTTTGGTAGCCATATAGCTTAAAAACTACTCACAGTCTTTATACTACTTCTTTTATTCTTAATTTTATGGCACTTCCAGTCTACCATTGCAGATAATTCTGAAGGACACTCAAGCCTTAATGTAGAGCATCACTGGAAGTAATGCATACAATGCACACTATTTCTCCTACAGGGCTTGCTTTCTAAGTGCCACAATGTAAGAAAAAAAAAAAAAGCACAGGTCATGAAATTACTCGAACTTCCAAATGCAAGAAGCCACTAAATTTGAACATGCACATAGACTACTTAAAACGGACAAGTACACAAAAAGTGCAGAATACTTGCCAGTATTGATATTTTAGTCCACAAATCCTCCTGTATATTAGCATTTACAGGCACTGAATAAAGAGCTTAACAATAGGGACAGCGACAGCGTAGTTGTAACCAGTTCTTTAGTTCTAGAATATATAGAGAACAAGACTTCATCTATACCTGATGTTGTTCATGGTGAGCATCCTATCTGTCACTCAGGTAACACCGGACTATTACTCCTCTTTTATCTATGCTCCTATCGTATTGTAGATAATTTACTGTCTGCAACAGAACCAAGTGTGTACCCAAATGGGACAGCTAAGAAAAGTTACTGTTGATGGTATAAAGCATCCCTTATGATGCCATGAAGACCATTTGGAATTGAAGATAAGCCTCTGCATTACATGCCCTAAGGAAAGCAATGAGCAGGAAAACGGGGGAAAGGGCCAATCAGTATGTGGGTAGAGTATATGCATGAGGTCCCACTGTCTAGTTATGCTCCAGTATCTAGAAGAAAACCTCTATTTATACTCTATGTTGAATAAGAGAACCTGCAACAGTTCACAAAGCTACTACACAAAGCTGTACTAAGTACATGGACAAAGGGTTATTTGCAGCTGAAGTCCTGCACAGTAAGTTAATACATAACAATCATGGATCTCAAGCAATGGATCCAGGTTAGCAAAAAATAACATTTCGAAACATAAAACAGATAAGTGGCTATTATTTTGGGCTTCACAAGCAGCCTTTCACTTAACAATACACAATGAAAACAGAATTATTGACCCGAGTTTACTTTAGAACACAATATTAGAACCTTGGCACAGATTGGACATAGATCATATACTTAACATTTAATGTAACAAATTACAGCACACACATTACAAAATATGCATGTGTTGTTTTCAAGAGGCAATGCCATTTTCTTCTGTTTCATTTGTTCATCAGACAAATACACATAACAATTTATTGCAGTAATTAATTATACTCAGTTGGCTTATGAGAGAGCACTCACTTCAATGAGAGAAATTCTACATTTCTGATTTTTAATGGAACAGTAAAGCCAAACATGGATCGCAGATTATTTTAAAGGCTATGTGAAAATTTTTGTTGTTATCAGGGAAAGTAATCC